GCCTGAAACCACCAGGAGAAAGTGGCAGGACCTGCCTGTTTATATTCAAGTTGGGAAATACGTTTGTCGCCCACGTCCGCCACATCTTTCTTGAATCCCAGGCTGGCTTAGAATGAAAGAGACTGGTTTAAAAATACATCCAGGCATCCCATAGATAGCTTCCAAAGAAATCTTAACAGGCTGGATATTTTCACAACGATTGTTTCATCCTAAACATGCAGCATGTTATGGAGAAAGTCGGTCTGCTCTCTCTGATAGAAGCGCAGTTGTGGGTAACAATGAGGGGACTTGTGTTGTCTTTTAAGAGTCTGGAGTCATAGACCTACTTTTATAAATAATTCATAGATCCCAACAAGCCGTAAGTAATAAGTTCCATTTGGCTAGAGACGAAGCCATGAGCAAAATTGAGAAGGTGCCGTGACTGTGGGTGTAACGCATGTGCTGCTGTCAGGGCACTGGCTGCAGTGCGTTTTCTCCCTTGACAGATTGGGGGCTCAGTGGGATGCTCTGGGAGGACAATTTTTTTCAATGAACTAGAGAGCAAGCGCCCCTACCCCCAGCACTGAATTGCGTTTCTCCTTTTGAGACATAAAATGCTCGAGTTAGGAAAGTCTTGCTGGAGCACGTGTGCTGAGGCCCCTGGAGGATGGGGAGAGAAAAGGTTGGTATCAAATCTGGCTTTTCTACCCACAACCGTGAGTGTTCACGGTTGTTGTAGTCGGTATGAAAAACGGCTTATCAGACTGCTCATGTCACGTTTGCCTCCTTTTTAATCAGTCATGCCATTCGATTGATGGGATTTGCCTGTCAGGAAAAATGATATGCAGAGCAAAAGTTATAATCACCTGCAAATCACAGACTATCGAGACTTAATAGCATCTTCCAGAGACGGAAGCTGCTAGCTACCCATGGCCCTGCGAGATGGCGGGCAGCAGCTCCCTCATAAGATATTACTAGGGTTTCAGATGGGGAGAACTGAACTTGCTTTTGTGAATTATTTACATGGCTCTGGCCTTGCAGGACCATTTTGTACGGAGAGAGACATTCTCTAAAATGATGGCAAAGAACCGCCAGCTGGTACCCCCTCCTTACCTTTGCTTCTGGCCATTCTGCCTGTGGAATGCATGCTCAGTAAAATGTGGCAGTAAAAATGTGCCAGTGCAGATGTAGAGAATGGACTTGAGGACACGGGGAGGGGGGAAGGGTAAGCTGGGATGAAGTGAGAGAGTAACACTGACATATATACACTACCAAATGTAAAATAGCTAGCTAGTGGGAAGCAGCCGCATAGCACAGGGAGATCAGCTCGGTGCTTTGCGACCACCTAGACGAATGGGATAAGGAGGGTGGGAGGGAGACGCAAGAGGGAGGGGATATGGGGATATACATACGCGTATAGCTGATTCACTGTTATACAGCAGAAACTAACACAACACTGTAAAGCAATTATACTCCAATAAAGATGGTAAAAAAAAATGTGCCAGTGACAGTAACATCAGACCAAAACAAAGGTGTTGTGTCTTACAGACAGAATCTGAAACATGACTGCACGGCATCTTCTGGGGTTAAACTCTTGTTCCAGAATTGTGCCGTTAACTTGAAACAGAGGGGCCATGAATTGTGCTAGAAATAAACAGTAGAAAGCTGTGTGGCTTCAGATGAACAGAAGCCACAGGGTTGGTTCTGCAGCCCATCCACACAGGACAGCTCTGAGTGGCTCTGGACTGACCACGCTGTGGGCACCCAGGCCCTGCTGGCTTTGGCTTGCCCGGGGACTCACGGGCAGCCTGGGGATGCTGCTTTGTAAATGTGTACTTCTGGCGGTGAGTGACTGAGGCCTCTCTGCCCAGAGGAGTCCCTGCATGTTTGGGCTGCTGTGTACCAGGGCGGGCCGAAGAGGGGAGCAGGCTTGCAAGTTGACAACATCAGACGTTCTCAGAGGAAACCGAAGTTCTTTCCTCTGGATCGCGTTATCTTTAACTTCCCTACAAATCAATCTTGTTACAGCAGGTGACAGCGCAGCAGCTCCTGCCGGGCCTTTCTCTGCTGTATCTGTGGTGTGTGCACGTGGGAGTGGACTTCTACCCTGTGCCATTTTCGAGCTCATCTAGGTTCTTTCATCTGTAAATTGCCACTTGCTGTGGCTGTTAGACCACAGGGCATGAGGACTGTCAAGGACCCGTGGGCCCACGGCTGGGCCTTCTGTATGTATGAGATCCAGGGCCACGTTTTTAAGGAGCCTTAATTGACCCACATTCTCTGTTGTCCACAGAGCTCATGAGCCATTGGATGACTCTCAGGAATTCTGAAGAGCCACAGAATTGCTCTTCACCACATCAAATGCAATTGGAAATGCTGTACGTGCACACGTGTCTAGAATCTCGAGTTTTAAAGCACTTTTATACCGATTATTTAGTAAGTCAAGACCACAAACACAGACACACACACACACACACACACACACAGCTCATTTGAAGTTACTGAAGCACCTTTGAATGCTCACCCATAGGCTTAGCCTTGATTCTGAAGTCGAACAGAAACCAAGAGGGTAGCTTGGAAATGAGAACACGACCTCTCAGCTGGGCATTTGAGAGCATCAGTGAGCACCGTGTAAAGGTTTCACCATTGAGTTGATTCTCTGCTCAGTGAACTGAAGTCCCTTATAGACTCTGTGCCCAAGAGGCATAGCCTTCCCTCCTCCTCCGTGCTCACCCGGGGCTGGGATCTTGCTATTAGAGAAATGTTTCTTCCAGCTCAAGTACTTTTTGATACCTTTCAAACATAGTGTGCTCGTTTATTTTGTAACCAGTAACCGTGTGCCAGGCACTTTCTAGGCCTTGAGGTTAAAGGAGTGACCGAGACGGCAAAGGCCCCTGTGACCTTGAAATACACAGTCTAGCTTCGGGAACATTCAGTGCCAAGCATGCAAACTAATAAACAAGGCAAATTCCAAGAGGGGTACAAGCAGTGAAGAAAATATAATGGTTGGTGCGATAGAGGCTGGGAGGGCCATTTTAGATGGGGTGGCCAGGGAATGACAAGGAAGACGAGCTATTGGAGAATCTGGGGGACCAGCTGCGGAACTTGCAAGGGAGTGGCCTGGTGGGCAGGAACACCCCAGTGTTCCAGGATCAGAAGGAAGCTGGAGTGAGAGAGGAAGTTGTATGAAATGAACGAGGAGAGGAGGGCAGGCGTGTAGTCTCTGGATCAGAGGAAGGAAGTCAGTGGTGGGTTTTAGGCAGAAGAGTCACCTGGTCTTATTTACATTTAAAGTCGCCACACTGGCTGCTGTGAAAATGCACCAGAATGTGTGAGAAGTTAAAACCAGGACCAAGGCTGAGTGCTGAGCAGGCTCAGGCGGGGCTGAGATGGGACCCTGCCCACAGACCCTAGCTGCTCCCTTAGTGGGTCTCTGTGCCCCTGGGCAGTGGGAACGGATGGCCCCCTTCCCAGCCAGCTCCCCTCTACTGAGCGCCACACTTTCTGCATGTGTCGAGTCTTGTGCCATGACTTAAGGCTGGAAAATTATGCTCATCAAAGGCATCATTAAAATATTCCTCTGTGTGTCTTCAGATTTTAAAAAGCCACTTTTCTCCAATACATACCGAAGTGTATATCACCTGTATTACATATACTGATACACCATTAATGTATATATATTGCTATACCTAGGAGATCCCAGTTTTGCTCCCAGCAGTGTTGCTGCCTTTATTGAGGAACTTGGGCCAGCTGCTTTGCCCTGTAGCCTCAGTTTTCCCATCTGTAAAATGAGAGACTTGGGGTTATCCCTGACCCAACGTGGCTTTCTGCTGATGCTCTATCTTGATCAGTTTTAAGTGGATTTGAGTTAATAGAGTACAAAATGTCCCATGCTGCAGGTTTTGAGTATTATCCAGAGAACTTGGTTAAAAGCAGAGATTTCTGAGTGGCTGAGAATTAAGGTGAAAAGGAATGTGGTTTCAGAAGTGTAACCTACTCTCATGGCCATTTGGAAACATCAGTTCTTTCCTATGTGGATTAATACTGGAATTCACACTGGATAGCGTTGCTTTTACTAATCTGAAGAGAACAATAAATCATAGTTTGCTTTCTGGCAGCCCAGCCCAGCCCATTAATTGTTGAGGTGGGCTTGTGGTGACAGCAACCACTGCCATTTATAATGTGCTTGACTTAAGCTCTTTTGCATATTTCAAATGT